CTGTGCTTCTCCTTCACTGATGTGAGAAACAAAGCCCAGAAACTTCTCTAAGAGGGTGGAAGAGCATTCTGGCTTAACAATATGAACAGCCTTTGGGCCCACAGTGTTTATTACCTCTTAGGAAATTTTCCCACAATGAAGTTGCCTTATTAAAAAAAAAAAAATGGACCTAGTTAAAGTGCTCCCGTTTTTTTCAACCCTGTGATTAGGGGCTGGAGTTTGAAGTTCCATTTGATGAACTTCAAGCCACCCTGCAAGGGCACCAGCTCTGGCCAAGGGGACTAACCCCAAGCAGCAATCCGTCTGTCATAAAGACAAGTGCCAGCGAGGGAGAAGCTACTTCTGCGGAGACAGCCTCTCCATGTTCTACTAGGAACAGACTTTAGGGATATGTGTGTGTACACATGTGTACACGTGTTTCTGTACTTAAGTACATGCACATAGAAGCATGAATGTGAGCGCCTGTGTGCGTGTGTGTGTACATGCATGTGATGCATGAATGTAAGTTAGAGGACAAATCCGGATGTCTTCCTCAGTCCCTCTCCCCCTTCCTTAGGACTTGGAGAAGGTTTCTAACTAAAGCTGGAGCTCACCAATTCAGCTAGATCGGCTGGACAGTGAGTTCTAGGGATCCATCTGCCTTTGTCTTCACTGGGTTACAGAATGTGCTGCGGTACCTGGCTTCTGTAGAGGTGCTGGAGATGCCAACTCATGTGCCTATGCTTGCAAGGCAACGATTTTACCAACTGAACCACCTCCCAATCCTGAGCTTAGGGACAAGATGATAAGCTTATTAAATAGCTAAAATGTTGTATTTACTCATTAGAAAGAATATGAAAAACTACAGAGAAAACACAGGTAGTAGAGGTTGAGGCTGCAACAGCAAAGTAGCCAATTCTAACACTTGGAGAGAGGTCCCAAAGCAGAAGGAAGAAAATTGTGCTATAAAACATTCCAGCTGCTGTTTGGTATTCAGAAGGCTGCAGCCTGACATTTGAGCCTCCTATGCTTCTTTTCCCAGTGAGCAGCACAGCCTCTACAGATGCTCAACAGGGTAAGAAATGGTGCTCAGAGCAGACCCCAGGCTTTGCAGGACAGCAGATGTTCAAGAGAAAGCCTGGAGATGCGCTTCGCTTCTGTAGAGTGTAACCAATTTGGTCTCCTGATGCCAGGCTCTCTGGTGTTTGGAACTGAGTCCTTAGACATTTTTTCAAATGCTCCAAACACACTGGGGAGTATGAGGCCTTGAGCAAGAGTTTACGTGACAGACTATGAGAGACGACTCCATGACTTCAGACCAAGTGCAGCACTGTTTTATCCTATAAAAATTCCTATTGTTACTCTGCTTATGTAACCAAGTTCTATGTGAGAAACTAAAGGCAGCGCAGTGCAGGCACAAGCAGTGCTTGGTTTTCTGCGCTGAAGAATAGTGTTTCTTCTCCTCTTTCTCCACACTTTAGGAATGATGGAAGCTTCGTCACAGAATAGGATTATCGTGTCAAGAATTTTAATTTTTTCATAAGTATTTGTATTCTCTAAGTCAGGTGCTAAAGTAAATATTTGTAAAACTAAACAAAGCAAAGCCACCCCACAGAAACAAACAGAGCATTCACTACAGGAGGAGGCAGGTGTCAAATGGCTGTTGAAAAGCTGGTTCTCGAATCCGCACGTGCAGGGAAGAGTGTGAGGGTGGGGTGGGAGGGCCTCTCGGCTTCTCCAGCCAGGTCCAAGGTTACTGTCATGGCAAGGCAGTGAGAAATGACGGCATTCTCCACAGCATTTGAAAAGGAAGGGAAAAGGGAAAATGCCTCCTTGCACAAGAAGTAGACATCCATCGAGTCCTGTCACAGCGTCCAGGATTCAGTGCTGCTGGATGGTGTTTCTAACATCCCAGGAAACAGCTCCAGGTTGTTGGGATCTTTCTCCAACTCCACTCCTGTCCTTGCCTAATGAAGAACAGCCTGGCTGCCTGCCGAGCTTCAGAGCTTGAGAATAAAAGGCACAGAGAACGCTGATGGCAGGTCTTCTGCAGGATGTGTAGGCAGCCAGAGGGCCACTGGGAATCTTGAGTTTGGCTGCTGCTTTGACAGCTGAAGACTGGAGGGGCCAAGATGCAGCTAGATGAGTGGAGTGCAGGGCCTGGCTCACCTCAGAGGGAATGTATGCTTACACCAGGAAGCCTCCTAAGTAACAGCAGCCAGGCCCAGGTAATACTTGGACCTTTCCCAATCCATCTTTCCTCTCCTTGAAACACTGTTTCTGCTAGGCTTGGTAGTGTAGTTTGTAACCCTAGCATTCAGGACATTGAGGCAGGAGAACTGTTCTTAGTTTCAGGCCAGCTGGGGTTACAAAGCAAAACTATTTTAAAAACACCAAAAATTTCCCCAGCCACCTATTGTGTTCTGAGTTCCAAACCAATCCATGGATTACGGAAAGTAAGGAACAGTTCCATGAAAAGCACAGAGAAATGAAATGAAGTCCTGAAATCTTACCACCAGAATCACTAGCATTTGGTGAGCTTTTGTTCTAACCATATTTTATGAATACTGGGTGAAACCCTTTCCAAAGAGTATTTTCATTTTATGTAGTAGTTACATCAAATGATTCAGATATTAGCAAAAGTCTACCAAAACCTTTGCAACATGTTCAGGTTCATAGTTGGAGTAGGAGGGTGGAAGGGGGATCTCTTTGGTCTGGATAATCTACAAGAGTTCGTATGACTGGCTTTTTGAAAGTATTCTTAGGGGATTTCTGTGTGGTGTTTTGTCTATCTGCATGGATGTTTACCACATGTGTGCCTGGTGCTTGCAGGGGTTAGAGGGGATGACAGATCCCCTGGAACTGGAGTTATAGAAGGCTGTGAGCCATGAAGTGGGTCCTCTACAGGAGCAGTACATGCTCTTCACCACTGAGCCATTTTTCTAGCCCCATGAGTGGGATCTTAAAGAATAGCATGATTTTTGAGAGGCACAGATTAAAAAAAGAAAAAAAGAAAGGCAGAAAGAAGAAAGAAAATAAGAGAAAAGAAAAGCACCCCTTAGTTTGTTTTAAAACAGGGTCTCATGAAGCTCATTGCCTTAAACTTGTTATGTAGCCAAAGATGATCTTAAACTCCTGATCCTCCGGCCTCTGCCTCCCAAGTGCTGGGATTACAGGTGTGTGCCACCACTCCCGGCTTAAGGAAAGGTATACACTTAAAGTGCAATGTCTAGAAGAAAAAAATGGGTAAAGGTGGGCAGAGCCACATTCCTGTCTCAATTTTCTTAACAAAGGGGAACTTGGACTGGACACAGAGGTGCAAGCCTGTAATCCCCAAAGCCAAGGAAGGATGAGGCAAGAGATTCAAGTGTCTGCTGCTGCCTTGCATTACATAGTGAATTTTGGGGATGTAGTAATAAGAAAGAGAGCAAGGGCAAGTAAGTAGACTCACACAGTCTTTTCCAAAAGACCCTGGAGAGGGCACCACCTCAATGAGATGGTGGAGCAGTGAGGCCTAGGCACATGCTGAAAGCAATGTAGAAGTCAGATGTTAAACAAGAGTCGGCATCAGACCTTTGTGAGTGGGTAGGGTCAGAGAAAGAAGTTTAAAAAACCAGCTGGGTGACGTGGGATGGGAGAGGGAATGCTTGGAATGAGTAACAGTATGGCTAACATGGAGGTATTTTTTGTAGGGAAAAACAAAGAAACGGGGGCCTAAAACAAGACATATTTCAATATGTATGCAGAGAGGCACTACTTAGTCTAGAAACAAAAGCCCAAAGAACAAGTCAGCTGATTGAAATAAGCATTGAGAGCTTGATTTGGGTAATTTGTTCTAATTTCTGAACCAAACAAAACTTGGAAACACACTGGAAATATACCAGCCTTAGACACAATTGACAGTCGAGTCGCTGATGAGCAGGGAGACTTGGGTCTGTACCAGGAAGGCTTGACAGCCACTCACTATGCATGGGAAGGAATGGCTCAGATTAATGAAGCAGCTTCAGTTACCCCAAAGGCACTTAGGTTACAAACTATGTAGTAGGTGGAGTACGCCAGCCACAGAAAAAGGGTGCCTCCCACAGAAAACGTACAAAGAAACCTGTAAAGAATATCAAAACACGGAGACTACTTACATCAGGAAGAAGTTTACCTTTCTTTCTCAACTTCTTATAAAACAGAAACACTCCATGGCACATGTCAAAACTAGTAGCTATAAACTCTCAAGTGCATAAACAAGGCTTTGAATTTTTAATTATGCAATATGCTGGAATGTTAATAAGCAAGAGAGTGCAGTAGGCTTTTTTTAAACCTATAGAATTAAGAGTTAATCACTTGTATACCGAAACTTAATGATGTATGATGATTTGAGAAGATGCCAGGCCTTAAAGTTAAAAGCTGCTACCAAGTCCCTTACTCTAATCTGTAACTGGAGTTTGCTACTTTGTAAGTCCTTTCTCTCTTTGACCTTTCTCACCCCTTCACTTCTTCCCTTTCAAGCTCCAAAGTTAGATAGGAGAGAAAAAAGGATAGAAAGGAAAGGGGTGGTTTTAGACTGATGATTAGGAGCTTTGAATGCCCTTGGGTGTTGCCCCCCCCATCAGGACATCTGATTTCTTCTTCTCATTTATTTGACAAGCTTAATCAAAGCGCAACCAAGAGCATTCAACCACCAACCAGCCACCCACCTCTTGGGCTCTAGCATTTATATATTCTCTGAAAAGTATCCAAATTCCAAATGTCACACACTCACAGAAACTATCGGAAGCTTGCAAAACCACACCCCTGCCAGAGCACAAGGCAAATCATAGCCAACCTCTGAAGCCTTAAATTCTCACACCTGGGATTAAAACAAACAAATAAAAAAATACATTCCCATATTTCTGTGTTTTTTAAAGAAACCAAAATTATACAATTCTCACTATACTAAACTCTAGCTATTATAAGTATTTTATACTTGGAGCTAAGGGAGAGAGGGCAACTACAAAATTAACACAAGTGGGTAAAAAGCCATACAATACCTCTGGATTCATGATCCCTTCTTTTTTAAAACAGCTGTGAAACATGTCCATGGAAAAGACTTCACTCCAAAGATATCCATAATACTGGCCATCATACCCTCCTGCCAAATGTCCAAAAGTAGCTGGCATATTTGTGCCTAAAAAAAAAAAAAAGATACATTTCAATTACTGTGATGCCGAATGCTAATTATTGAGGTTGTGAGCTGGCTAGCTTGCCTTCGGGGAGCCCAGCTGTGAGGAGAGAGTGACTGATAGCATCTCGCTGGTTGGTGTGTACCCTTGGCGAAGGTGTTTACAAGCCTGTCTCCTTTCAGTAGCTTACCCCAGCTCTGGAATGCCTAACAACAATTTCTGAAGCTTTGTCCACACCTGCCAGTAGTTCCAGGGAAAGTCAGCCCCTAGATGCCAATGCGCCTTTAAAATACTCTAATAGCCTCCCTTTTTCGCTGGGAAAAACATGCTGGGAATCAAATGCAGCCTAACTCTACTGCTGAGCTACAAACCCAGGCCCCTGCCACATTTTAATCTCGGATGCCTCAAAATAAAATGGCATTTGTGTAGGTTGATAATTTCTGAAAACAAAAAGTGTTTTGAAAAGAGGTTGACCAAGCAAATCTACACTTGGCTGCCATTTAGTGGAAGACACAATGTTGCTCCTTGGTTTACAGATCCGGAAGTGAGGGTAGGATGACTCAAGGGCCACTCTTATCTTAATATCCTCTATAACTATGTCTGATTCATTTCAGCAACAACTTCCTTAATGAAAAAGTTTACTTTGTGATTGACATCCAAATGTATTCACATATTACTTGGCTTAAAAGTAGCCATGTAAGTTTAGACTCACACAGTAACAAACACTGTAGCAGGTTAGAAACTGCCAGTCAAGAGCTTGAACTGGCATTGGAGTCAGAAATGAAGGAGGTTCCTGTTTTCCCTGAAAGGCCCCTTCTGCCTACTTCTTCCTGAAAATGACAGGGAAGTCCTGGTACATACAGGGAGGGAGGGAACAGGCAGGTGCTGCCAAACAGGAATGGCTATGTTCTGGGGCGGAGGCCAATTGCTCACGCCTGATTACACTGAAATGCTGTGACTCTGGAGCCGCCTCTCCTTCAAGCACATTTGGACAGGACAACTCCTAAGGCAGAGTGTGCTTATCTGAAAGCTATGGTCTGATTATAGAAAGCAGAAAGGAATGAAATGAGCTCCGAGGAACTCCACCCGCCTATAAGGCTGTGGACACTCTCAGGTCTCACAGAGATGAACGCAGGGCCAGTGTCTCATACCTGGTGTAGCTGCAACTCCCAAAATTTCTGTACAGTATTTAGCGTATTCACTTGCAGCATCCAGCGACGCATCGGTATGGAGAGACTGATCAACTTTGCTCAAAACAATTTGGCGCAGTGTCAGAAGACCTAATAAGGTTAAGAGCATTTGAAGAATGTGTTGGAGAGAGAACTATGTGTTCTAATACCACAAGGTCAGAGATTCAAAAATCGATTCCAGTACCACTCATCACAAAACGGTAGCAAGGCAAAATGGCATCCCAACCATATAAGACTTAGAGGAAACTTTTTCCTTAGATACAGTCCCAGGCATCTCCATTCCCACACACTCAGTGTTCTTCCCTACATGCATAACACTCTTTGGGTATATCATTAAAGTGAAAATAAGTCTGTCAGAAGAAACAGCCAGCAATTCTGCATCGAACAGTTCCTACTTGTTTTCCTTCTCTAGAGTGTTGTATCATACCTGTGTTGACCAGCCTAGAAGCAACAAGCTTCTCAAGCAGATCATCTGTGATAGGGCTTCCATCTTTATAATGTTTTGACAACTTTCGAAGGGAATCAATGTCCCACACCCAGTTTTCAAGCATTTGTGATGGTACCTCTACAAAGTCAGTTTCCACATTTGTTCCACTAAATCGTGCAAAGTCAGTCTAGAAGGCAAACATAAAAGTATTTTTAAAAGCACTGAGTTTAAAAACTATGCATGCAATGAATTATAATGAGACCCACCAAAACTTAAGGCAGAATCAGAACAAGGTACTGGTGTTGATGTAGCTTATTGTCTATTGTGAGGCTGATCCTAGCACTAAGGTTGGGAGAAAAGACAAACAATTTCCCTAAGATAAACAGTTTCTCTCAAGCTCCTCCTTACAGTTGGTCACTCTTGTTTACTCAATACATGCCTTTCTGGGCATTCACCACTATTGCTCAACTACTCAAGTTTAAATCAGTTAAAGAGTTAAGTAACAACATTCCAGATGTGTGTGTGTGTGAGAGAGAGAGAAAGAGAGAGAGAGACTGGCTCAAAGGTAAGTCTGCAAATGAACTGCAAGTGTGTGAGTGACTGTGAAGAGAAAGTAGAAAGAAGCAATAACCTGAGAGTTCAAAACCTCTGTGGTGCAAAGGGACTCGCTCAGGGGGCCCATGCTAAGAATTCTAAATGCCACATGTCAAAAATCCTTGAGCCAGATGTCGTAAAATCTCCCAGAAGAAAGTCAGAAATTTCTCAGCACAGGCTGGTGGCTTGTTTTCATTAATTTTTTTAGACTATTTTTTTTAATATTTTTTATTTTTAAATAATTTTATATATTCCCTTGTATCCCAGCTGCAGCCCTCTCCCTCTTTCCCTCTCAATCCTCCCCTCCCTCCCTCATCTCCTCCCTGTCCCCTTCCGAGTCCACTGAAAGGGGGACTCCTCCTCTCCTTCTGTCTGGTCCTAGCTTATCAGGTATCTTCAGGATGGTTGCAATGTCCTTATCTGTGGCCTAGCAAGGCTGCTCCTTCCCCAGGAGGGAGGGGAAGCTCATGAGTTCATGTCAGAAACAATTCCTGTCCCCCTTACTAGGGAATCCACTTGGATACTGAACTACCATGGGCTATGTCTGAGCAGGGGTTGTAGGTTATATCCATGCATGGTCCTTGGTTGGATAAACAGTCTCATAGAAGACCCCTGTGCTCAGATATATTTGGACCTTGTGGGGCTCCCTGTCCCCTCTAGGATATACTAATTCCTCCTTCCTTCATATGATTCCCTATACTCTGCCGAAGGTTTGGTTATGGGTCTCAGCATCTGCTTTGATCCACTGCTAGGCAGAGTCTTTCAGGTTAGGCCACAGCACACTTGCAGACCATTAGCAGCTGAGAAGAGTTAGCACTGACCCCACAGGGTCACATCTAGGATGGGCCCTCCTGTTTCCCTGTGCTTCACAGCCCATTGCTCTCCCAGGCTCCATCACCCCAGGCTCTACAAGGAGGGAACAGGAAGAGGGCTCAGTCACGGAGAAGGCAGCAGATGGGGTGCCAAATCAGCAGTGTCTAAGCACTCTGCTTTTGGCCCAGGGCACCAGCACAGATGTCAGAATGACAGCACATTCTGCCTTCTTCTCTATGCAAAAATGCTTTTTGCTTGATTCACAGTGAAACTGTGCTGATTCTGCATAGGAAGGGCTGTAAGATAGGAGGTCCAAGTAGGCACTGGAATTGGGGCGCCTCTACTGAAGAAATACCACCATGCCCCGATTCGTGCAGAAAGAGTTCTAGAAACAATATTTTTCCTCATTCTGGTCTGTCAGATTTTGAGACTGTACCCACATTATGGGTAAAATAATCTAATGCAGGACTGTAATAGCTGGGACCCAGAGAAGACCTTCCTGTGCCAGCATTGTGAACAATAGGATTTAAATCTCCATACAAAAAGCCCAGACGATAGTTCACTTGGTAAAATTTCTGCTGCCTAAGTGTGAGGACCTAAATTCGATCCAGTGCCTCGGTAAACAGGCAGGTGTGGTGGTCCCAGTACTTGGAAGGTGGAAAGAGGAGAGAATCTTGCTAGCCAGGCAGCCTACCTGCTATCAGTGATAAATTCTGTCTCAAAAAAAGATGGGCAACTACTGAGAAACAACACCAAAGCCTGACACGTGGCTTTCACACCCAGCGTACAAATGTGCACGTGCACACATGAACACACCCCTACCTCCCCCATCCCAGTGTCCCCACGTTACTGTACAATAAGTCCTATTACCTCTACTGGTGAACTAAGGAAACCGAAGCACACACAGGGTCCTATCAGAAGTAGGATTTAGAACCAGATGGGAACAGGGACTCAGCCACGGAGAAGGCAGCAGATGAGTCCATAACTTATAACTGTAACAAGAATGCTTAGTCTAGTGCATCTTTATTGTATAGAAAAGTGGGGAAAATGAAATTCTATTTTAACAGTGACTGTCACCTTCTTTCTTTTTTAAAAAATTTATCTATTTATTTATTTATTTATTCACTTTACATCCCAATTGTAGCCCCTTTTCTCCTCTCCTCCTGGTCCTACCCTCTCCTCCTCTTCTCTCCACCCCTTCCCTATTCCCCAGAGAAGCAGAGTCCCCCTACCCCCCCCCCCCCTCCCATGACTTAATCTTTTAAAAGGGGATCTTTTTTAAAAGGGCCTTTACCAAACTTCTCCTTTATGCGACAAATTAAAGGGCAATGTGAGTGTGTTCTCTGAGAACAGTGACGTCCTCCAGAGATAGGAAGATCTCTCAAAGATTGCACAGGAGGCTGAGGTACACAAGGCCAAGTGTTGCCAGTGTCTAACCTGAGCCGGCGATACACACTGCATGGTTTTATAAACCATAGCTTTTAACCGAATACTAACAGTGCAAATAAGGGAAAATCAAGCCACCAGTTAGTTACTTATCACTATCCAACATGACAAAAGGAGAAGCTCTGTAAATCTTGCTTGTGTGGAGATTTCTAAGTCAGGATTTCAACTGCATACATGCACACAGGCAACACACATACAATATGGGGGAAGGGTCTGCACTCACACATGCATACATACACAAATACACACACACACACACACACACACACACACACACACACGCATGCATGCATACATACACACTGGGGAAAGGGTCTGCTCAGTATCCAGAAAAAACAAAACAAAACAAAACAAAACAAAACAAAACAAAAACCATGAACAAATGAGTACCTCATGAGTTAAAACTGGACAAACAAGAATCAACACAGTTATGTCACCAGAGAGGAGAAGAGAGGCCTTATTCTACCGAAGCCTGCTGTAGTGGGGCAGAGCACTGCCAGTGAATGAACAGATCAACAATGTTCTTTCTTTAAAGAACAAAAGGAAATGTTTGCAAGGAAGGAGTAAAAGCTAAAAATAGCTTGCCTGCTTACAAATTTCCCAAAAGTCACCCATGCTGTGTCACTGTGAACCCTTTATCATTTAAATATTTTTCACATGATGACAAAAAAAAAAAATTCTACAAAATTCAAAAGCTCATTTTCCAGCAAACAACTGAACTCGCAAGCCAAAGACTCCCACAGTCAGCACGCACATGGAAATGGAGACTTTGGCTCTGCAGTGTGAGGGGCCTAGTGCACAGGACTGTGGAAGCCAAACTGCCACACGTCACCAAGATGACACTTCCCAGGTTTTAACTGTAATTTTCTACATAGTTCTCAGCATGATCAACTGGGGGTGCTGGAAACAATAGTTTGGGAACATGAGGGCTAGTGGTGCTCGTCTATCTCCCAGATAAACCTAGGATTACGCTACCTCACAAAACAATCCAACGGGCAAATCACAGCACCCCTCATGCAGAAAATGTTTTGACCATGAGAGCCTGAAAAACAAGGTTAGCTTAGATTTCTGTTTGGACAGAGATTTTTGAGAGGAATAAAGTTATCTAAATATGAGATAGATCTTTTTCTTTTTTTTTTTATCTATCTATCTATCTATCTATCTATCTATCTATCTATCTATCTAT